TTTTTTTTTTCTTCTCAGGCCAGATCTAGTGGATTTTTCCAAGTTAAATAAGACCTCTCCCGAGGCTAACGTTGAGTATGCATTCCATGTCGCCGAGAAAGAGCTTCATCTTCCCCGTTTGCTCGATGTCGAAGGTAACGTCACGCTCTTTAATAAATGGTGTAAGGACTGGTGTAAGGCGATTTTTGCAGCGATTTGAGGTGCGATTTATGCAGCGATTTTGGTCATGGTCAAGAATGGTAAAGGATAAACCTTTAGAGTTTTATTCTGGACACCAAGATTAACTGGACAAATGTCTCTTTAGAAGCATAAAAGAAACATAATATTTTCAAAAATCGCCCTCGTCAACGGTCCATAAAATGACTGAAAAATGACTGCGCATGGCACGGTCATGGCTTGGATGAACGATCATTTTTCAAACAATCGCAGCGCGCTAGATTAAGCTTGCGTCGCATCAAAATGTTCGGACACGGTAAGGTAAGACATGTCTGTATCATGAGTAAATCTGCTCTGTAGATGAATATCTGACACACCTCTCCTATGTATACAGTAGTCATGAGTTTTTCCCTTCTATGAAAACAGACTTGGTATCATCTGAACATCCTGATGAGAAGTCCATTCTGACGTACGTTGCTTCGTTGTACGAAGTGTTCCCCAAAACGCCGTCAGTCCAGGAATCTCTGCACGATAGTGTAAGTAGCAAAACTCCATTCAAACGTGTTCCTTTTTTTACTTCTATTCATGGTCTTTTCGTCAATCATAAATATGCTTGTGTATGGCTCCAACCTTTTACCTATGCACAGCTAAGCATAGGATCAGCTTCGTCTGCGCATGCACATAATAGAAGGTATAGACTGATGGGAGGAGGGAGCGAACTGGGACCGACTCATGGAATCAGTCTAATAATAAGGCAGGTTAAAGCATCGCGTTCTTAGCATCCGCAGACGCGACAATTTTTTTTTTGTATTTCACGTTACGTTTTGGAGCCTTCTCACCAAAGAAAAATATTCTTGTTTATTATATATCTACTATGAGGAGATGTTTTTTCATTGTTATCGTTCCTTGCATACCATGGCCCTTTTTTGTGCGCTCATCAGTATGTCTAAATAAAGTTTTCGTGAACACTTTATTTCATGCGCGCATCCCATGCACTTAACGTTATAGTTCCTGTATTGGTGTGGGTAATATGCTCGCATCTATACGCGTATTGTTACTTTTTCTTGCGCGTCAGTATATCAGTGCGCATATCGATATTTGTGATGAAATATTTCCATGAACACACCTTAGTTCATGCGCGCTTTGCACACGCTTTACGTTTTAGGCTTATTTCTTCTTCTGTGCTTGTTTTTCTTTCTGTGCGCGCATCGAAAAAAAAAAAAAACATATTGTAGTTATTGCCTTTCTCTTTAAAAGAATAACATCGTATTATGTTATTATCTTTTTAAGGAAAAGCAGCTGAAGTACGAAGAATATTGCAGCTACGCTAAGATGTTGACTGACCAGATTATCCAAGTTACCATCCGACTAGAAAGACAGCAAATCCCCAGAACAATACATGGTATTAAGGTACGAAATTACGAAATGCCATTTATATCTAGTATTAAGAATATGCATAGGTATTGTCTGCCCCAGGCACAGCTAAAGAAACCAAACCTGCCCCTACTTACCCTACTTACTGGTATAGTTTGGATTTTGGGGGAGGGAGGGGGGGGGGGGCGAGAAGCGAGAAACAGGTTTGTGTTATCATCGGTAAAGACTGTGTCAGCAGATAGTAGAACAGTGTCTCAGGTGTGATATACATTTAGCAAGACAGACGACACACACAAGACACTGAAACACATCAAACAAATATACATGGGTTTCTCTGTGAGTCAAGAGTGTCATGTTTTCAACAGTTTCTCTTAATGAATAGCTTGCGTGTTTTCTTTGGAATTAAAGTATTTTGTGCTGTCGACAGTTTTTCCTTAGTAGTTATTTTTTTATTTTTTTTACATTTTTTTATGTCAATATTTTTGGGGAGCAGTGTTAGTTAATTCTCTGAATGGACTGGAAGTCGGATCTCTAATATTTTAAAGCATTTTTTCTTTAGGAACTGATATTGGATTTCAATCGTTATCGCATCACTGAATACCCTGACATGGTCACGCTACGACACTCTGTTAAAATGCTTCACAAAGATCTTCAGGTACGTGCGCATTTTTCTCCTATTCTTCCATTACCTTACCTTACCTTGAAAGTGTTTTCATCTTACTTCCTCTACGTATGAAGAAAATTTCTTTCTACCCATTCTCTTTCTTCCGTTTATTTGTTGTCCCCCCCACCCCTAAGATAAATATTTCAAATTCTCATTTCTTTTTGCCCCAGCCTTGAGGAGTTTAGCGTGTTGTATGTTCTCTTACCACGATATGCCGTCAACAATTGGACAAAGTGTTGTGTACCAACGTGGCGTAGAGTGGGTACATAACTTTTGAAAGTCATTTATCAGCTCGCGTGCGGCCCACGTGGGCCACGCGTGCGGCGTCACGTCGCGTTGTGTTTACTAAGACAGTCTTTTGTATTCGTCTCTCTGTCCTTAAAGGGGGGGGGGGGGGTATGCTTGCTTTTTCAAATGTTGATCGTTTTAAAAGTAACGCTTAATCACAAGGACAGCTGTTCGAAAGAAATAATTTTAACCAATCCAAACTGGCGTTTAAATTTGCGTCGAAGTCACGTGATTTTTCAGTTACTAAGTCTAGCAATGTGTTCTATAATATACTTTTGGGTAATAAATGGGATACGATGTTATAAAATTTCTCTCGAAGTTGATAAATACCCACCCTTGAAGAACTAGCATTCACCAGTTTGTGAATATATTTGAATAATTACACTCCACTGTGAAATAAGACACCTGCAGTTTAATGCACTCATTTGAAGTTTATTCTATTTAACTGTCAAAATCGTAATACAATGAAGCCCACAAGCTAAATTATTTTTGACATTAGCGACTAAACTCGATTCATCATGTATTTATTTTTTATTGGAATAAAATGTAAAAAAATAGATTATAAGTAATTTTATCTTAAGTAAATTACAAAATATAAATTACTTAAGTAAATTACTGAATAAGCACCTTTTTAACGATCTCTTTATATATTTTTGTAAATATTTTTAAAATGTAAAAGTTTTTTTTCCACTGACTTTTCAGGCACTTTATGGTCCAATGACAACATGGCTCGACTTCCCCAAAGATTGTAGCCCTCGAGAACTCGCAGTGGTGTGTATGCCTTTATTTTATTTGTGTGTGTTTTTATCGTTTTATTTCGGCGAAAGAAGGTTTGTGAATATTATGTTTGAGTGGGAGCAGTACGTTACTGTGACTCTGATTGGGCAGTGTTCTTTTCTCGCCCTCTGATTGGTTTAAATTGGGAAACCATTTGACAGTTATAGCTCTGTAATTTTTCCCATTCATAGAAATTAGCTGAAATAAATAATAAATAATCATTAATTTTCCCGTATGCTTTTGCAAAAACTTATTTCCACTCAAACTAACGATTTTACCCAAAAACTCTCCCTAACAAATACAGACAACTTGGACCAACGCCACTTGTACGAATTTAAATTTTAGATAAACGTTAACTTCCAGACAATCTATTAAACTTCACATTAAGATTGATAGCATTCTTTATTTGTTTGAAACCAATATTGTACTTGAACTATATCCTCTCTTTCGTTTGGAGGGCAAATTTATCTTGATATGAATAGTACCCGAAACTATACAAGCCAAGCATCGAAAAGCTGCTAAATTTTTCGTTTATTTTTTCTAAAGCTTTGGACAAAACTAGTCGAAATACAAGATAGCTACAACAAGTCTTTGAGAATTGAACTTACAAGGTTGGTTATAAAATCAATTCTTTATCGAATAACTAGATATTTAGCTGCTTAACTGAATGACATTGGTAGAAATTCAATCCGGAATTCAGGTTATCTATGAAATTTTGTGTTTTTCTTCAGGTTGGAACAAATGTCTCAAGTAGCCGAAAAAATTCATAAAGAGGTGAGAACTTGTTTGGTATAGAAACCTTTTATTCCAGCTTTTTATTTAAGTTTCTTTTGATGCAAAAGTAATTGTAAATCATTGGAAAATTCTATAGGAATTAAGAGTTAAAATATCTTTGAATTTCCGCGTTGTTTTCAGGCGATGTTGGTCGACGCTTCGCTCGATGACATCGAGGATCGAATCAAGGCGGTATGTCAAACATTTACTTTTTGAGTGAAGCCCAAAGCAATCCCTAGTATTCGTGTTTCTTGAGGGTTTTATAACTCTCTTTTAATTTCTTTGTGTAATGGTAAATGGTGTCAGAAGGTAGGGCTGTTTTGAAGAGAGCGTTTTGGTTCGCCGACAGACTGAATGATCTTTTTGACTTTTTAATGGTCGGTTTGTTACTTTTTCTGTCTGACGCTGTCGTTTTTAAAATATCTGTTCTTTTATTGTCGTGCGGCCTTTGTTTGTCTTTATCTTTCCTTTTTCCTTATTTTCCTTCCGTATACTTGAGTCTGTCGGTTCGCCCGTCTGTCAGTCAGTCCGACAGTCTGAGTGAGGCAGTCAGTCTTTCTGTTTGTCTGTCTGTGCGGTCCCTACATTTATTTCCTCTAATGAATTTCCATTGCAGGAAGAAAAAAATCGTGACAAAATCGATGTTGCTACACGACGAAAACACTTCATGAACATTGAAAAATCCTTGATGGTAAGAAAACCTACCGTCTTTAGCTCATCTATTGAAAGTACAGGAACATGTAGATTGTTCAGGAGATTCTCAAAGTTTTGCTGTCTGTCGGAAAGGAGGGTTCGGGGCTTGAAAGGGTATAGTAAGTCATCAGCTTCTAGATGGGTGAGCAGGTACGTGTTATCATTCAGGGATCCCATCATTCAATTTTTGCGCAATCTTTGTTTCAGATGTTCGAGAGTAGCATCAAGCACATGATATCAGGTTCGGAGCTGCTTGTCACTGGTCATTATTCAAGGGCTACTGAACTGAAAAACAGGTATTTATAAGAAATAATAAAGCTACGGTTAAGCCACTCTAATGGAAATGCTTGTGCAAACCATTGTTCGGCTCGTAAGCTCAGTACCCGAGCTTAAAGAATGGCTTTCCTAAGCATTGAGCGATTTCACAATTTCGAATAGTTGGTGTAGTTTTCCCCACCAACATTTGTCATGTCATTAATTCGATGCGCTAAAGGACGAGCAACATTTCCAAGGCGTCTGAGATCAATGCCTGGTAAGGATTTATTAAGCTGTTCAGTGGAGCAACAGCAAGTAGAGTCGTGTGACAGTGTAACGGCAGGCGACACGGTCACGGTACGAAAGTGACGATATCGTTCGAACCAATCACAGCGCGATGGATCACTATTCATCCAATCAAAATGCATGGACACGGCACCGTCTACGGTCACGTAGCAGCGACTCCGTGCTAAGAGTTTTCCGCAGTCATAAAAATTATATTTTCTCAGTTTTGTTTGCGTCTTGACTTCGTGTGAGATTCCCCTCCCCACGAAAAAATTCCTAAGGTTATTGTAAAGGGGACCGCAATGGTAGGAAAATTCTTACGATTGCTTTCATATTTTTTCAACAGAGTACAGAACATCAATATTCGTTGGAAAAACATCAAGATTCAGTTAGAACGACTGGCATCTGAGATGAGCTACTATGACACAGTATCCACTTCAGAAGCAAAGAAAATGAAGCTTGAACGTCCCATCGAACCAGACGTAGCAGATGCCGCTGAGGCAGGTCCATCCCCCATGGACGAAGACATATTGAGGTCCACTAAAATCATTAAAATCACTAAAAGAACGTACAAGACGGCGTCTGGAGAACCTATTGAATCAAGTACTACGGTGTCTAGGGTGACGTCTGACGAGAACATCCCTCAAGGTACAACAGATAACCCTTATACTTTGTTGAACGACATCAAAACAAGAATAGACCGATCCTGGCTATGAGTGTCCACCCAAAGAAAAAAAAAATCATTTATCGATATTGGGTAGTTTTCTCAAGGGAATAAAATTTTCAGCTATCGGTGTCTTTCCATGTCGCACATCAAAAAAACAAAAAAACAAAAAAACAAAAAAAACCACACATTTTAGCTTTTCCTACAGCAACAGGTCCTTCCTATGACCGCTCCGCGAGTACAGGCAGCCCAACAAAAGCGGAGCGGTCAGGCTAGGAGAGGTCAGCGTCTGGACTACAGTAACTGGGGAGGAAGAACAATGAATGCGGGATCGGCGTATAGTCTTTTTCTCATTCGGTAAAATACTGATGATAGTAACCGTGGTTTCCTTACCTCCGTTTATATCTTATAGAACGAATAAGTCGAACGTTCGTGACGTCATCCGAGTCTCTCCCCTCCTCCATGTCATGGGACTCTGGCATATCTCCTGGCGCCTCCCCCCAAAGGCGCAAGGCAATACGCTTACAGTTTGGACTGGAGAAAGGAGAACCTGGCAGCGAGGCTGACATTCTAGATGCCATGTTACTATGGGTCAGAGAGAGAAAGGTACTTGTAGTTTTTAGAGTAGACTGCATGACTGCGCATGACTGTGAAAAACGGAGTGCCGTGTCGTGTAATTTCATAAATTTGTCACTCAAATGCCTAAAGATAACCGCCGGGAGTGAGAAAGAGAACCAACCAACTCAGCTGACTTGGAACCACTGGGAATCGAACCCCGGACCTATATACCAAAGTGAAGAAGCCAAGGCGGCGTAGCGGTGAGAGTGCTCGCCTGTCACCAAGGCGAGTCGGATTCGAGTTCCGCTATACTCGGTGTCGCTTGAGTAGAGTTGTTTTTTGGTTCTCTCCTGTGCTTCTCTGGGTTCTCCGGTTTTCTTTCCTCTACAAAAATCAACTTCTAAACTGTACTTGACTTTGAATTGGCATAAAAATAAAGAATGAATCTCCATATCCAATCACAATACTAATTCATCCCACAACCGTTCGTTTTGCGCGCGCAAAAAATCCGCTGATATTTGCGTCTTTCTTGTTTATATGAGCTTTGAATAGTTGTCTAGTTGTATTGTCATCGAACTCGAAAGAACCATTTTCTCCTTTCCCGTAGAACTCGATGGAAAAGGCTGGTTATGGCTTGGATTTGCCTTCATCTGAAAAATGTCTTCAGGAACACTACGGACAGCATGATATGATTATTGCTTTTGATGAGGAGTTGGCACGAGTCAAGAAATTCCAGGTACGTCGCGCATGTAATTCATAGTTCCCACTCAGACAATAGCGAACCAATCAACGTTGCAGCCGCTTTCCCAGTGGAATTAAAATCTTGTCCCACAAGCAACTACACAGTATCTGTTTTAAAGAGTAGTACAAGGATTACGATTTTCTTTCATTTTCAAAGGACAGTAACAAATTGAAACAATTTATGCGCGAGCAGAGTGTATAAATTCCGATATGTTCTAATTAATTTGTCAAGCTTTTGGGACATGGTAACGTTAACTAAGGGGAGTCGAAACCATGAACAAGCCAAGTATAATGGTCTTTTATCTTCGCGAGCGGAAACACGAAGAGGCGAGTAAAGATAAGCGTAGATTCAGAACAATTTCTCTGGACCACTTTATGGAGCCTCCTATTTCAATTTTCTTTGGATTTCAAGAGTGCGCACTGTTTTATTATTATTTTCTTACGCAAAAGTGGGTGCAGATCTGTCGCGCGCAGACTACTATATTTACTACTACGAGGCTTAGACCATAGCACTTCTGTTTTCCCCATAGGATGAGGACATAACATTGAAGCCAAAGATTATCCAACTGAACGAAGAATATGTCGTACTTGTGGTAAGTATACTAGACTGATATAGTGACGAGAAAGGAAAAACTATCCATGTTGTTTAATAAGCTGTATTTGAAAAAGGGCTTTATGACTTGTCGTTAACGTTGAATGAATGCGCTGAAAAATCTGTGCACTTTTGATTTCTGCAGCAGTTGGAAGGATATAAATAATGCTCTTTATCTTGGGTTGGACGTAATGTTTTCCCATTTTAGACCTCTTCAGAATAAGATTATCTTTTTGGGTTTTAATTAAATAAAGGAATAATGCTCTATGAAATGACGCGCTCGATATAAAAAGAGATTTATTGGATCAGAACTTATTGCATTTTTTTTTATCACATGAAGCCCATCAAAGATTTTTATAGACTGATCCATAATTCTGACCCAATTCGCTCTCTTTCGATTTTTTTTGGTTTTTTTTGTTTTTTGTTTTTTTTTTGTTGAGCGACCACCAGAAACAAAGGAGTAAAAACTACGACTTATAGAATCAGGTTTTTACTTGTTGCTTTTTATCCCAACAGGCGTTGTCCGTCGATCGGCTAAAGAATCTGAAGAGTTTAGTGGAATTCATGAGTGAAGCAACGAAAGAACTGATCTGGTTAAACCAGCGAGAAGAGCCTGAGGTGTCACGTGATTGGGCCCGACCTGACCTCGACCTTGCTGACCTTAAACTTTATGGAGAGGTGAGTTGGTGTTTGCCTACTTTTCTAGGGTAGCATCGGTGGCCTACACTGTTAACGCTTCGTCTTTCACCGCTGTGAGTCCAGCGGGTCGGTCGTCACATGTGAATTGAGTTTGTTTGATGTGTTGTTCTCTCCTATGCTACGAGGGTTTTCTCCGGGTTCTCCGGTTTTCTCCCTCCGTAAAAATCAACATGGGAGTTGAGTGTGTGAGTGAAAAGTGTTCCCAATTAGTGCGAAAGCGCTAAAACGACTTGACTTAAATAAAGATGTTTAGGTTTCATTTAGATCGTCATGGGGTTCTTTAGTTAGACGCCCTTGTGATCAAGCCAGATTGGATGTGTAAACACAGCGATCCCATAGGAAATTTGTGGTATTCAGGCCTTTTTCCTTCATCTATTTGATTTTGCGAGACTAATATTTATTGACTTTTATTTATTTGTGATTGTAGGAACTATCGTACGAGATTCGCGAACACGAACCGCAATTGAACGATATCGTTAAAACTGGAGAATCCATGATCAAGTCTAAACATCCTGCCCCTGGACCCATAGAGGTAAAACCTTACTTAAAATGGACTACTTTGACGATGCAGCGGCCATCTTGAATCGCAAGGCATTAGGGGTCACATAGACATGACTCTGAAATGATGACTCTACGATATTTGAGAATTATTCTCCGTTGTTGAACTGTCCTTTTATTTTAAATCATCTATTGTCAAAATGTTGTGAACCGTAAATGTGAACTCTACGCCTTTTTTGTAGCAAAGCTTTGTATATTTTGGGAACCACCCATAGTGCCTTGTGATTCAAAATGGCCGCCGTATCTTCAAAGTAGTTCATTTTATATA